TTTTCATCTGCAGGAAATAAGATGAAAAAAGTTGCAAGTAAAGTAAAGGATAAGTTGTCGGAAATAAACAACGTACATAGATCAAGTCTGGCTGCTGTTGGGAGAGTCGTCGTGGCCGGGGGGAATGCCACAAAACATGGAATTCTACACGCAGGTCGCGCCATGAAACAGGGGGCTCAGCGGTTTGGTTCTGCTGTCAAGGCTGGAGTTAGGAAAATACGCTTGAAGTTTTCTGGGTCTGGGGAAAAATTCCGCATCGTAGCCCACCGTCTGAAGGAAAAATTAGAGGCAGGTGACGAGAAGGCCTTGGCACTTATGAAAAAATTGGGAATCAACATCAGCTTCATGGGTAACAACATAATGGGGTCTTCTGTTAACAATAATTCCTTGCCTGTAACTGAGGTACTAAAAAACGAAGGCCTTCTAGCCAACAATTCTGCGTCGTATCACACCTTGGTGGAGAATGAGGAGATGACGGAGAATGAGAAGTCCGAGGACCTAGGAGAAGAGAGCAAGATAGTTACAGAGGAGGTGTTCCATTCAGCTGAGGATTATGACACTTTCCATTCAGCTGAGGATCTTAGTCCAGACACGGCTGTTAACGCTGGTGAAGGTGAGCGTTCAGCGATGTACAGCACCAGTAGTGACCCGTCTCTCACAACCGATCCATCCCCTGACCCTAGCACTACTCCACCCACTACAACTCTATCACCTACAACATTCACAACTCCACTCACAACCACCACAGCTCCACCCACAAAAACCACACCTCCACCTACAACAACCACAACTTCACCCACAACCACCACCACTGCTCCACCCATAACCACTGCTCCACCCACAACCATGGATCAACACACAACCACCACCACTTCACCCACAACCACCACCACCACTCCACCCACAACCACTGCTCCACCCACAACCATGGATCAACACACAACCACCACCACTTCACCCACAACCACCACCACCACTCCACCCACAACCACTGCTCCACCCACAACCATGGATCAACACACAACCACCACCACTTCACCCACAACCACCACTCCACCCACAACCACTGCTCCACCCACAACCATGGATCAACACACAACCACCACCACTCCACCCACAACCACAGCTCCACCCACAATCATGGATCCACTCACAACCACTGCTCCACCCACAACCATGGATCCACTCACAACCACCACCACCACTCCACCCACAACCACCACCACTCCACCCACAATCATGGATCACTCACAACCACCATCACTCCACCCACAACCATGGATCCACTCACAACCACCACCACCACTCCACCCACAACCATGGATCAACACACAACCACCACCACTCCACCCACAATCATGGATCCACTCACAACCACCATCACTCCACCCACAACCACTGCTCCACCCACAACCACCACTCCACCCACAACCCTGGATCAACATGCAGCCACCACCACTCCACTCACAACCACCACCACTCCACCCACAACAACCACCACAACTCCACCCACAACCATGGATCAACACATAACCACCACCACTCCACCCACAACAACCACCACAACTCCACCCACACCCACCACCACTCCACCCACAACCACCACTCCACCCACAACCACCACAACAACCACAGCTCCACCCAAAACAACCACAACTCCACCCAAAACAACCACCACAACTCCACCCACAACCACCACCACTCCACCCACAACCACCACCACTCCACCCACAACCACAGCGCCACCCACAACAACCACAGCACCACCCCAACAACCACAGCTCCACCCAAACAACAACCACAGCAACCACAGCTCCACCCAAAACAACAACCACAGCTCCACCCACAACAACCACAGCACCACCCACAACAACCACAGCTCCACCCAAAACAACAACCACAGCTCCACCCAAAACAACAACCACAGCTCCACCCACAACAACCACAGCTCCACCCACAACTACATCTTCACTCCCACCTACAATATCAGTAACAACAGTAAGACACACAAGCATTACAGCTGATGACGAGAGAGTTATCACAGACCACGATGACCCGGACGCAACAAGAGAGGAGGTGTACGAGCCCCCGCCATTCCCCGACGTATTTAGTGACATCGAGGTACACGACCGCCTGAAAGCCTTCTACGACAACGGAGATTTTAGCCACTCCGAACTGTCCGAGATTTTTAACTTTGATCCGGATAATTACGAATATTACGACTATTACAACTGAATGTGGCGGTCACTGGGGCAATGGTTTTAAACGAGACAACAAATGAGACTCTTACCTCTCTCAGCCTCTGTCAATTACCTCGTGATTACCCCCCCCTCCTCCTCCCCTAAAGTGCTTACCTGAAATTCCAGCCCCTAAGATTTAACCAGGCTGAAGTTTTACCACCCCGAATTTATCTTGAAGGTTTAATGTTATGGTGAGCCACGATGGTTAAAGTAGTGAATGGTCTCGTCTGTGTCTCAACTACGTCACTGTAACCGAGATGCTGTTCATTATCTTATACAGGTGGTGAAGATAACAAATCATACAACACTCAGGTCTAAAGGAAATTGAAGAAGAATGTAAATATAACTTGAAATAATGTGAATATCATTTATATTGTATTTACTGTGCTGCACAAGTAAAGTTTAAGCTATTAAAGTTTTTGTTCATTTGTATGTATTCTGTACTTATAATTTATGTAACTTAGCATCAAACAGTCCGAAGTTCAATAATTTTTTTCTTTATAAATTTGAGTAAAATGTGTGAATGATGGAATATTAAAGAGGCCAAGTGTAATATACCCTCAACAGTACATGTGGTGACAGTGTAGTGCTGTGTTCAACCTGGAAAAAAGTTCATTATGACGCTGAGTAAATAAGTAACAGGATTTAGTAATGGGTGTGACTTAGATCGTTCTTCACACACACACACAAACTGACCACCTATCATGCATACACACACAAACTGACCACCTACCACACATACACACAAACTGACCACCTATCACACACACAAACTGACCACCTATCATGCATACACACACAAACTGACCACCTACCACACATACACACAAACTGACCACCTATCACACATACACACACAAACTGACCACCTATCATGCATCCACACACAAACTGACCACCTATCACACATACACACACAAACTGACCACCTATCATGCACATACACACAAACTGACCACCTATCATGCATATACACACAAACTGACCACCCATCATGAATACACACAACCACCTGAATACTGACCACCTATCATGCATATACACACAAACTGACCACCTATCATGAATACACACACAAACTGACCACCTATCATGAATACACACACAAACTGACCACCTATCATGCATATACACACAAACTGACCACCTATCATGCATACACACACAAACTGACCACCTATCATGCATACACACACAAACTGACCACCTATCATGAATACACACACAAACTGACCACCTATCATGAATACACACACACTGACCACCTATCATGCATATACACACAACTGACCACCTATCATGAATACACACACAAACTGATCACCTATCATGAATACACACACAAACTGACCACCTATCATATACACACAAACTGACCACCTATCACACATACACACACAAACTGACCACCTACCACACATACACACAAACTGACCACCTATCACACATACACACACAACCGACCACCTATCATGAATACACACACAATACCACCTATCATACACACAAACTTACCACCTATCACACATACACACACAAACTGACCACCTATCATGAATACACACACAAACTGACCACCTATCATGTATACACACACAAACTGACCACCTATCATGTATACACACAAACCTATCACACATACACACACAAACTGACCACCTATCATGTATACACACACAAACACCACCTATCACACATACACACACAAACTGACCACCTATCACACATACACACACAAACTGACCACCTATCATGTATACACACACAAACTGACCACCTATCACACATACACACACAAACCACCTATCACACATACACACACAAACTGACCACCTATCATGCACATACACACAAACTGACCACCTATCATGCATATACACACAAACTGACCACCTATCATGAATACACACACAAACTGACCACCTATCACACACAAACTGACCACCTATCACACACAAACTGACCACCTATCACACACAAACTGACCACCTATCACACACAAACTGACCACCTATCACACACTGACCACCTATCACACACAAACTGACGACTGACTACCGATCATGAATACCACACACAAACTGACCACCTATCACACATACACACACAAACTGACCACCTATCATGCATATACACACAAACTGACCACCTACTACACATACACACACAAACTGACCACCTACTACACATACACACACAAACTGACCACCTACTACACATACACACACAAACTGACCACCTATCATGCATACACACACAAACTGATCACCTACCCCACCCAGAACACCCATCATACTCTCAGGATATAAACTAAAATATTGACAACAGATTACCTAAAGATTTGTCCCCAGCTTATTTCACCCTTATGCTAAAACACTAACCACGCCTAGGTTACATTGGGGTAGATTTAATCAAGAAAAATAAGCTGCAGGTAAAGGGGGTGGAGGTGATCCTTGAAAATATGATTACAACACTCATATGATTCTTGGTCTTGTCTCTTAAAGCAATGCATCAGTATTCTCAGACAACATTCTACCTTTATGTGATGGCCGTCTCTAAAAACCTGAGTTGCACTTATGTCAAATCCTGTAGTCAAAATTACTACAAAATCTCAGGAAAAGAAAGACAATAATTAAGAGAAATTAAATACTGTGTACCAGATTATAAAAGTCCGATCCTATGAGGATTTTGTATCAAAATTATAGTGTGTGTGTGGTGCATAAAAACATTGTACATGAGAAAAAATAAAACTTGTCTGTATAAAACATAAAATAAGTTTATTCCAAAGAAACATTAGAAACAAAATGTGAAAAAGCCACATACAGGTATCATAATATGATGGTGATATTTACAGATGAAGTGATATACTGTACTGTACATCTTATGCAATACTGTACTGTATTGTACACTCTCTCTAAAGAGTATTTTTATGGAGGAGTCTGACAAATTTCAAAATGAGCACCACAATTTCTGTTGTCTCACTAGGGTTTACAAAATCCTTCGTCTGTTATCATATTATCTCGCACAAAATCATAGAGATATTTTCTGGAGCGTGTTTACCATAAATGATCAACACATAAACAGGAATAAAAATTAAGAGAAGAATTACAGAATAACAGAAGCAAATTATGATCTCTCAAAGTAAAACAACACTCAGAGATGGAGCAGTATAAATTCTGTTCACATCATCTTTTAAAACATTTGTCAAAGCATTTTTGAGAACAGAGAACTGCAAGAGCCGGGGCTGATGTCTGGAAAGCAGTGTCGATGGCAAGTGCAGACGCTACTAGCTTAAGGTTGAGAGATATGCAGGCAAGGATGTGAGTCTCATAACATATTCTGCCACAACCACATTTACACCAAGCCTGAAGATAATCCACTAAAGTTGCCGGGATATCTGCAGCTGTGGGACGTAACCTGAAATATAACAAAATACATTCAGATACTTGGAGAAGTTTACAGGAATGAGGATAATGTAAATCACACCTGTACAGTACTGCTGACAATCACAGTGTTCTGAATCTGGTGAGATACAACAAACTCAATGTATTACTGAATGGAAAAGTATCTCTACCAAAATTAAAGATAATTTACTCAAGTTCACACACACACTAACATAAAATCAACGATTTACTTACAAATCTTAAGACCAATACACTGGCCTGAGGTCATATAAATGACCATAACAGGCAGTGTGTGTTGTAAGAAGTCTGGCAGATGGTATTAGCCATAAAACATTATTATTGCTCACTATGGATGTTCTATCTTCATAAATTAATCAATGATATTAACTACTGAGTCCGTAACCATAAGACACGTAAGTTCCCATGTACGGTACCTGGCGTCAGTCACATGAAAAGGTCCCAGAATATAACTGAGACTAACAATGAAGTACTTGTACTGTACTATGTCACAAATGTACGTGAATATTTGTAAGGCTGAGTATTTCTTTAAGTGTAAAGACAGTACAGTAATTACTAACAATAATTTAAGACATTAATTGCTAATTAAAATTAAAAGACATAAGTGTATGGGTAATAGTGGCCATGTATGACAGGTACAGTACAAGTCAACACAGATAAATATGTTACTGTACTGTACCCTCTTTGAACACAGTAAGCAGAGGTAATTTCTTTTAAGCGTGGCACTCCTGTGATGTTGTTCGTGACCAGGCCAAGGGGACTGGAGAGGGGGTTGCCAAACACATCTACGGTGTCCATCCTCAGGTGCATGAGTGAACCTGGTAGTTCTACAAGGTTATTGTTGCTGGCAGTGAGGTACCTAATAAAAGTGAGAAAGTACACAATTAACCAAACTATTTACCACAATGTAACTCACCCATACTGTAAAGTACAATACAGTATTTATAATCTCAGTATATACTAATAATAACCACTAAATTTATGAAACATTTATGCCATCACTGGTGTACTGTACTGTGAACAGTGAAAGTAGGTCTCATAGGCATGACTGCCCATTAGGGACAGTGTGGATACAGCACACTATATACTAAACCTTCAATGCACAAGGAGGCAGTGTGGCCGGTACTGCACTCCACCACCTACACTTCCCCATGCTGTAAACTTAGATACCCATTCACAGCTGGGTGAGCTAGGAGTGGCCAGGGATCAAACCACTGGCTCATGGAACAGAAGGTGAGTGCCGTATCCACTCGACGGCTGCTTGATCCTGTTAGCAAAGTTGTAGTAAATTGTCAAAGTCTGAGAGATGTCACGGCAGACACTTCCATGACCACGGTTTTTGATGAACTCCAGTACTGTACACTCAAAACTGTACAGTACCACCATCGCCAACTTATTAGGGCATCAGGGAGGACCCAACATGCCCTTTGTGCTGATATTCCATATATTGTACTGTCCAGTAATATCTCCGTTAGCCGGAATCCCTCAAACCGGGAACTCTTTGATAGCCAGAATTGAAATTTGCTCGGAAAATCAAGAACTTTTTCTGAAAATATCTTGAATAAAGATAAACGCTCAAATATTTTGGGGGACCTTACCCGACTCAATGTCAGGTGGAGGTAGGGTGGGGGATTAGTGGTATCATATTAATGACCTTCTGATGGAATGTCAGGTCACCCTTTCTTGGGTGGAGGATTAGTGGGTCTCATGACCTGAAGATGTCTTGAATAAACACAAACCTAAAATATTTTTAGGGAGATTGTGTCAAGTATAAGTATTATTACGACCCTCCCTTTTCACCGCTTACCCAGCCTCCACCACTAGTTACCAGCGGCCAGAGTCGTATGTACAGAAGCAGTGGATACCTCACAAGTGTTGTCGAATTACCACTGGCTGTCCCGCCAGTCTCCGGTAATTTCCAGACAATTGGTATCAGTGTACAGACAAACAACAGGCAGGTAGATTTCCACCACGTCACAGAAACACACTTGTGCACTGTAGTCTTCTTTAATGAACACTCATTCTTCACAACAGGGTTATGTCATTACAGCTGGACTTTTCACTTCGAATATATAGTATTACTGTAATCGGCACACTACCAGTGTACAATTCCTTAGTTTTTCACTTTATATTGTTCACAACAATTCCACAATACTTGCACAACCATTATCTTCAGTTGTTCTACTAGGCTTATTCTTTACACCCTGAATGAAAGCGATCGACAGACTCAAGGCCGCTCGCTGCCACATGTATATGTCTTGTCAGATTCCTAAAGCATTCTAGTGACGTCCAGACGCGGGAGGTTGGCTCGAGACGCACCTGGAGAATTCTAGAATGATCTAGGCTTACCATAAGAAGTAAATCATAAAAAAAATGATGCAATACATTCTAGAATATTCTTAACATAATTAATACATCAATATATACATGAAAATAACTGCTGCATGAGACAGAAAACAATCAAAACACCTAGTGTAAAAAAATTATAATACGAAATTATACCTCGGCATAACAGTATAAATGATCAAAGTTGTATCCCTTCATCATTACATTGCATAACACTTTAAAATATGAAGTGAAAGAGCAGAAAGATGTGGGTGATTGGAGAGATGATGTGGAAAGGTGTGTAACATGCACCAGTGTTGCCAAGTGATAGGCTCCTCAACAGTTGATCTTTTGATTTACCTCCATGCAGTCACACAACCAGACCCTCAACAGATGCTTGTTTTAATTCCCGTGTGTGCATTTGTGTGTGTGTGTGTGTGTCAAACATTCAAATAAATATTGTTGAGCTTGCCAAGCACATTGTAGGATTTGAAGAAGTTGAGGAAGAGAATGTTTAGGAGCAATTAAACAGTCACAGAGAAGACCTAACTAATGAAGAACTGATGCAACTTGAACAAGAGCACGAGCAGAACACACACACACCAACAGATTACCCCTACCCCACCTTCTCACGTATTTACGGCTAAGTGTTTGGCAGAAGCATTTGCTTAAATGGAGCTAGCAATGAACATATTTTCTGAAGTGGATCCATTAACTACTTATTAGTGGTTAACTCCTATTGTTGTCCCATTTATTTACATTATATAACATTAATTATAACATATATAATAACTTTTTCCATTAATTTTACTACAGCTACAACCACCATTAGTCGAGGCTTTAATGTACACAAAATCAATACAATAAGCTCTAATACCCACTCATTTCATCCCAAATACTATTGGATAATTGCTTTGAAACAATCCCTAAATGGCAACTGTAAGCTGACGGGAATCAGTCATGTCCATATGGTAGGAGATACCGACTGCAACCCCCCCCCACCCTCACCAAGAGATCACTACACACATGTGTGTAGTTCATGAAACACAAGTCAACTTGTGGCATGATGGATGATCATTAACGAGTAATATGGTATAAAATCAAGAGATTTCAAGGGATTTTTTTAATATATGTCTATACAGTACAGTGAACCCTCACTTTACGTGGTCAATTGAACCCACTGAGGCCCAAGTAAAGTGTTTAGAGAAACGCGTAAAGTGAACAACATAACATATGGGATTAATTGAAATAGAGACCGGGCTGACCCCCAAACTCCACTTTTTCCCGACACAAAACCTATGTTCTAGTAAAAATAACATCTTGATTTTATGATGGTACACACACACACACAATTAATATTTAAGAGAAATAGAGAAATACAGTCGCCAAGTTAATGTCCATTCAAATAATGGACTCAACTCCCTCCCCCTCTTCTCACACTCGCTGGCTCTTCCCTCTCTGAGAAATGTTTGGGGGAAAACACTAGATTTTAAGGTATAGTAATAAATAAAACCTCAAACTAAAGTTAGGATAATATAATTGACATTGCTGGATTCCTTGTAAGACCAGGAATATTTTGAATATAAATGTCATATATTTTGCACAAAAGATAACATATTTACTCAGAGTAAACAAAATACTTACATTAGATCTAAAATTTGTATGTCTAATGCAAAATCTATGATGTTTATATTCAAAATGATCATCAAATTGTAAGAATTCCAGCAATGTAAATTATATTCTGGCCGGGTAATTTGTATGAATTTTATGAGCTAAAACAAATATCTTCAGTTAATAAAAAAAAAAAAATATTCTTCACGACACTATCTGTCAATCAAAGTACCCCACCTTGCCTCCCCCCCTCTTCCCACCACGCCAGCTGGGTCGGTCGGTCCCTCCCTCCCCCCACCCCCCACCTTCCCTCCCTACCAGAGAAATGTTTGGGAGAAACCAGAATATTTACCTTTTTAGTAATAAATAATACCTCAGACTAAAGTTAGGATAATATAGTTCACATTGCTGGGTTCCTTGCAAGACCAGGAATATTTTGAATATACATGTCATATATTTTGCACAAAAGATAACATATTTGCTCTGAGTAAACAAAATACTTGCATTAGATCTAAAATTTGTATGTCTAATGCAAAATCTATGATGCTTATATTCAAAATGATCATCAAATTGTAAGAATTCCAGCAATGTAAATTATATTCTGGCCGGGTAATTTGTATGAATTTTATGAGCTAAATAAAAAAATTATACTTCACCCGCGTAGATGCACCGCGTATATGAGTAGATGCACCGCGTAAAGTGGGAATTCCGGTTCTGGCAGGGTGCCACGTAAATGTAGGAACGCGAAAAAACCGCGTAAAGCGAGGGTTCACTGTATTTACAAAAAAATTTAAATAATGATGGACCAGCCAACTTTTTGCAATTTATAAATCTATTAATTCAAATTTCCATTCATTTTCATTAACGTATTTTATAAATTTCGAGAAAAGGGCCCTAGCTATTAATACCGATACAGCGATACACACACCTTAACATTTATTATTATATATTCTCGTATGATCAGCCACTTATGGTGTATGTTTTATCATTGATAATATAAAATCACACACTACACATAGCCGCCAGCCGAAGAAGAAGTACAAGCAGCCGCTCCAGGGATGCAGCCGAGCACAAGCAGCCGCTCCAGGGATGCAGCCGAGCACAAGCAGCCACTCCAGGGACCCCAAAGACCGCAGCAGTAGTGGCGTCTCCTCCACTGTCCCAGTCCCCCCAGCTTGCTGTGCCTTGCAAAACACCTACATCCCAGAGAAAAGACACACCGACAAATCGTTTGGCTCAATTGACATTCTTGATCTCTCCCACGGTATCGGACCTCCCTTAGGAACCCCGAATACTGCTGAGGGACCTGGTGTGATGAGAGACCATTCATGAGTTATCAGACCTTTCCCTACCACTCTTTTTTTCTCTTCTGCTGCCGTGAAAGGACCTACTCCTCTGTCAGTTGATGCACAGGGGAGTATTCGTCTAGAAGTGCCCTTTGTCCCCACACCTCGCTCAGAACGTGCTTGTGTGCAGGAAAAAGGTCAGCAGAGCCTGCCGATTCACCGGGGACCTCTGTGATCGTACAAAGTATCCCCTAAGTGAGGGGCGCAGGAATTTGGGGACACCTGTTCGGGGAGATCTCCAATAAATCTCCACTTAGGACTTAGGGAACATGCCCTCCATAAAAATTAAAGTGGATCACACCCGCCAGCAATCCTCAGACCTGGCCTCACTGATCTTCAAGCTGACCCGAATTTTTCAGACTAGAACCTTCATCAATGAAAACATGATAAAAATCTTCCTCCAGACTGAAGAAGATGCAGACAGATTCCACTCCCCAAAGGTAAGTAAAAAACTCCAAAACAATGGCTTCACAGTCCTCAGCTCGACCGAGTACCGTGCAAAATGCACCCTGATATGCCGGAAAATCATTCCTCATATCTTAGAAAACACTAATCTCCTGGCTGAACTAAACTCACA